GGGGCGGGGCTGTTGCTGCCCCTGCCATAGCCTCATCTGGGGAGAATGAGGAGGAAAGCGTAGAGAGTGGGCCCTGATTACTCCCCTAAGTGTCCAGGGGAGTCACATGGCACCCAGTATTGCTGTCTCTCTGCCTCCACAGTAGCGGTGCTGAGGCTGCTGGAGCCAAGGTCTCCAGAGCTGAAGTTTCCAGTGCTGAGGTTGCTGTTGTCAGTGCTGCAGGCAAAGGTAGGGGAGTCATTGCCAGTGCCTATGGTGACTGTGGAGGGACAAAGGATGCTGACATCATTGAAGTGGATCTGGATCTCAACCTCTGGCTCTGTCCCTGGCTCTGAAGGTAAGTCCAGGGCACCCATAAGGGCCTCTGAGTCAAAGGTTGCCACTGGGTGGCCACAGTGCCCAATAGGGCTGACAGTCACACTGGAACCTGGACCTTCTGCTCCTGGTCTATTGGAGTGATAGGATTCCACCTCCAACTATGAGGTCGCTGAGAAAGAGGACCATGGAAAAGTGGTGCTTCACACTGCTAGTGAGCAGTGCCAAGGTTTAGGGAATCAATGCAGCTCCCCCATGAGGATGGACCATGCTGGGGAAAGGCATGTCAGAGATGGAGATTGGCATGACATCATTGCTGGCTTGCGCCTTGATGGAATCGGGGACTGGGCAGTCACTGGCAACTTCTCTGTGAGGAGGAGAGTGCCATGAAACATATAAGGCCCTGCACCACCTCGAACTCCTCTGCAATAGAGAAGAGCTGCAGTTCTCCTGCATGTTGTCTGGGTAGTGGTGATACCCCAGACTCAACTGGATGCTTGAGGCGGCAGGAGTCAGAGAGACACTGGGAGGTGGCAGGGCCAAGGTGACATGGCCTGGTTCAAGTCTCTCTCCCGTAGGCTTCTTGGGCTTGGTAGGGGAAAGCGATCAAACTATGGCCTTTGCTTCTTCTTGAGCACTGGGGACTGAGACTGGTGCCTCATAGATGGCTGTCTATAGACAGAGCCATGGCAGAGCAGAGACTCCTTGGCACTGGCTCTCACATCATTGGTGCCAGCGTGCTCCACACTGATGAGCAGATGCTGTGCATAAGTGTCTGGCAGACTCTGAGTCCAGCTGTGGTCAGAGTGCAGCATCCGTGAGGAGGATCTTGAGCCTTTGCTCCCAGATTTTTAAGGTCTTAGGGGAAAACACTTTACAAATCCTGAACATCTCCTGGTGGCTCGCTTGGGGACACTTCAAAACAGGAAGCGTGAGAGTTGCTCTTAAGCATAAATTTGCCATATATCTCACAGAATTTAAACCCCAGGGACTGAGGCATACCCCACTGGCAGGGGAGCATTGGTGTTGAGAGCCTGCTGAAAGGAAACTTACAACTTAACTTCTAATACTGCTACTACTAAACTATTAAGTACCAACCACAAATACTGAAGAAGGAGCCTGCTAAAAAATGCACTTGCCAAGGCAAAATCAACGTGGTGTTCCAGCTAGCGGTCACTGCCAGTAAAAAAGAAATGGGAGGGAGTGTGGTGGATCAGCAAAGCTCTATATTGAGCACCATGAATGCATGACTTAAGGGGGTGCCCAGGCCTATCTGACCAATGATGTAAGATGAAAAATCTTGCAGCTGCCATTCACATGCTCGCACACAAACCTAATTGGAATTGACATAAACAAGCAGTTGAAGAATTTCCATGATAAGAAACATCATTGTTTTATTTCAATTCAAAATGTTGATATAACCAGCAATTTGGAGCCCATTTATTTAAAAAAAAAATAGCTCTATATACATCTCTCCATTCAACTGATTCAGCAGATTGAAATCTTTAAGGAAAGCAAGCACAGGGTGCTAGCTTCAGACACTATTAAAAATATTACGTGAATTGCCAATATCCTCACAGCAAAAAGCACAGAAAATGCAAATTTGTGTGAATAACTTGCACACATTTGACTATATTTACATAAAACTTTTTAGAACTAAGGAAAGAGATACACAGTCAAAGAAACAAACAAGGAAAAGAAAGGCAAAGAAAAGGGGGAGAAAGGAAGAGGGAATGGGAAATCTCATCATTTGATTTTTTTTCCCCTCTTCACTTGCCCACATCAACATTTCATTCCTTCACCCCAAGAAATAGGAGGTCACTTCACCACCGATAACATTTCATTGCAATTATCCTCTTCTTTGCCCTGAAACATTTCAATTTAATCTTCTTCCAATACCATTTCACTCTCCCCAGAACGGGGTTTAATTTTAGTTAGTCTCTCGTCCATCTCTGCATTCCATACCATACCCCAGGCATATGTATTCTACTCAGTGACCAGGGAGAGCGTGGCCAGGAACAGCTAACAGGAGAGTTTGGAGGGAGTTTTCCAGGTAAAAGAGGAGTAAAAACGGGACCCTTGTGGTAAGTGGCTGTCTGGAGTGTATGTTTGTGTGTGGGGGAGTTACTTGCAGTGTGCTGAGCTTGTGTTTGTCTGTTTGCTTTGTTTGTTGAAGGAGCTTCTAAAAGGTTTGAAATCTAGAAGCCTCTGTTAATTGGCTGAGCCTCAGTCAGGGGGAGGGGCTACCAGAGCTATATAAGCCTGTGACTCAGCGACCAGGAACAGCTAACAGGAGAGTTTGGAGAGGGGGAGTTTAGAGGGCACTAGTGTAGGGATAACATATCAATGTATTGAAAATGATTCCCCCAAATGGAAGTGACTCCCCATAATTTGTTCCCCACAACTTAAAGTGTTTAGATTTATTATTAATTCTTATTCTTATTATTAGTAGTTAAGATTGTTAAATGTTGTTTAGATTTATTATTATTATTGCCCCTTTAGAATATAATGTATTAGGTCATGTAACTTAGAACTGTTAAGAATATAATCCTATGAAGCCAGAAACAGCCCCCCTGTGTCCCAGGGCATGCTCAAGCTTGTGCAAGGGGCTGCTTGAAATTGACATTGCAGAGATACATTGTAACAAAGCATTGTA